CCGTCAACAACTAGAGCAAAGAATAAGCTAATAGTGAAGAACAAATACATTTAAGCGAAGGGACGGGATTAGTAGTCTCCCTGAGCAAGGAACAATAGAAGATATTTCTATTAATACTTAATTAACTACTTTTTATTTAAATTGTATTAAAAATTAGTTAAGTAGATTTGGTTTCTTTGATCATCAAGAATATAGTAATATGAAATAAGAACTATTTTAAATTAATGAATGTTTGAGAATGAATAGATTGGTTGAAAGAGAAAGTGGTTAATGTTTATATAATAATATGAAGATATTATAATGATAATGATTTATTTTTAGTAAATGAGATAATTATAATTTTTATTCTTTTTCTTATTATTTGTTAATTTTTATATATATTTTATATATTAATTTGATGTTAAGTATTATAAATCTTTTTTTTAATCAAATAGATTTTCATTTGATATTTCATGATTATAAAGTATTTCATTTTCTTGTTCTGTTCCTTTTAATTGTTAAACTTATATTTTTTATTATTTCATTTATTTTCATTAGTTATTCTTGTTGGAGATTAGAATTGTATAATTTAGTAATTGATAAATTATAATTAACATTTCATTCATTTCTTTATTTTTTATTTAAATTACTTTATTTATTTTTTTTGTCTTTTAACAATATTCAATATATTCAATGTGCTATATAATTATTTATGATAATAACATTTGATTCAATATTTAATTATTCACTAGGTATATTTGATCATTTTTCATTTTAAATGAACATATTCTTTGATTCTTCATTGCAGTAATTAAATAAATTAATAATTCATGATTGAATAAAAAAGAATAAAAATTATAATTATTATTTAATTGAAATATAAATACAATATTAATTTAATAAATGAAATATGAAAAAGGAATGAATACAATTAAATAATGATAAAATTAAATGAAGTATTTCAAATTATTCAAAATAAAAATAACAAATAAAAGAATAAGAAATAATCTAAATAAAATAACATAATAATAAAAATCTATAAGTTGTCACAGACTAATAAATAACTATATTCATTTTTAATACTCAAATTTTTTCATAAAAAAATGAACCTCTCAAGAATAATAATTATTGTTGAAGAAGGTGAATGACCTTTAAAATAAATATTAGTTATTAAAATAATGCCAGTATTTTGAATAAAATATAATTTTTTTGTAATATAAAACAAAAATTCATTTAAAAATAATGAGATTTTTTGTTGGGGTTGGTTGTTTTGGTCTGAATAAATTGAAGTATTAAATTGTTATTAATAACGACAAAATACTATTTATAATACACTAAATTAAGTGTTTGTCATATTTACTCCATGAAAGATAATGAACATAACCACAATTTTCAATATAAAATAAGTAAAGTAATTCAAAGATAAGCCAAAAATGAAAGTGGTTTATCTAATTCTAATTATTTTATTCTTTAAGGGTTCAGATTTTTTAATCAATTCTTATTATGATATGAGTTTGTACTCAAATTAATTAATACTTTCACGAATAAATACATCAGTATACGAAATTATAAACCAAAA